CTCTCTCTCTCTCGCAGATTACTGTATTATTCTCCCTCCGCCCCGCCCTGCTGTGTGACCCCGCCCCCTCACGGAGACGTGCGTGACGACGTCGTTCTCACGGCGTGAAAACCGTCTCGACTTCGGTTGAGGTGTCTTGTCTTATTCTCAACTCAACTCTCATTTCGCTTGTGTAAAAAAAAAAAAAGAAAAAGAAAAATCACACTTACTTTGCTTACTTTAATTTGGAAAAAGTTCGCAACATGTAGCCTAGTCTATATTCACCTGGATTTCTATTTCGTCCGCCAAATATTTGTTAAGATGTTTCTGTGTAAATTAGCCTTAAAAAGTACGTTAATCTAATGGTACAGTACTGAAAGATTATTGAATCATTATATTCATGTACTATGATATATGGCGCAATAAGGTCCAAAAATACCAGGTCTCAAAGTAAGTTGTATTACCACGTTATAATGTCCAAAAAAAAAAAACAAGGTAAAACTGGTATTTTTAGAACTTTTTTTTTTTTGATAGTGTAAACGTCGTCAATAAAACCGCGCCATCTGGTGGTCGCTTGAGGCACTAAAATTTAATTCACCTCAACAAAGTTGTTTTTTATGTTTTAAGTGACCACATTTGGTCCCCCTCACCAGACAACTGAATCTTCCTCCAGATTATTAAACCCGGTTACCCAGAAACGGTTACAAATAGGCAAAGGTTAAAGGCCATTTGATTGGAGAAAGCAGCTGCTCCCAGTGCTGACGCTTGTGCAAATGCTCCTATGTCCGTGAGCACCGCCCCACCCCCAGACCCTCCACATGCCCTCTTGCCTCTCTCCGGGGGTATATATAGCCTGAGAAGGGACCCGGGCAGTCCTGGCAGTCAAAATGAGGCTTTTCCTCCCCGTCTGCTGCCTGCTGCCTCTACTGGCACTCGCCACTGCAGGTAAGACGTTTAAAAACTGGATTTGAATGCAGGTGGACTGCTGAACTAACAGCTGCAGGTGACTTCTGTATCTATGCAGCTGAAGTTTGAACTTAGTAACAATGATTGGGTATTCGCCTGTGAGTATTAGGCCTCAAGATAAGTGTCTGAAATCCTAGATCAGCTTGCTTGTCCTTGGTGAAGATGAGTGTCACTGCATCTGTGCCTGCTTGTATTCATTGAGCGTATATGGGGGAGTGTACAGTTTACAGAATGTATATAACACGTGGGGTTTCTTGTCTTATTGTTGTTTTTATGAACTTGAATATCTAAGTTAGTCTAATTGTTCTTTGATTCGTTCACTAAGAGTCTTTAAGTGCACTCAAGTACAGTATGTTCAGTACAACTGAATTTGAGTTTCTGGATGGCATGAACTGTATGTGTAGTGCTGGAAAAAGTGTTTCTGGGAGTCGTTCTTGCTGATTCGGAGCTGTGTATAGATACACAAAGCCCTGAAAAACTGAATGACCGCCTTTCTTATTACTCCATTGAATTATGTAACTTCTGACATCTGCTGTGTTCACTTTACACCAGGATTATTATAGTTATCTAAAACCAAAAAAAAAAATTTGTTGGTTGAAATTACATGAACGTTAACTGAAACAAAATAAAATATATAAAACCCTTTAATTGCAAATAGCCTACATGACAAGGCAAATATCTCATTTTCATTTAGTTTAACTTGGTGTATTAAAAAACTAAAAGTGAAATAAAAATGAATAAAAAATGTACATTTAAAAAAATTTACAAAACAAATAAAAATGACAAATAACAAATATGAACAGTAAAAAAAAAAAAAAACATTCAAAAACTATAATAAATCTCAAATAATTCTAAAATAACATTGGTTCATACATCTTAATCATTAACACACATTTTTACAGGTCAATGACTGATAAGAGTGTCCATGATAAAGAAAAGTAAAAATCTTTTAAAATTCTTCTTTAAAATGCACACTAATTTCTTGAAATATACCTTTTATATTAAAGGCAGAGTAAGTGATTTTTCAAAAACACTTTAGAAAACTGATTCGGGCCGAATCGCAAAACAAACTTGTAGCCAATCAGCAATAAGGGGCGTGTCTACTCGTGATGTGGAGGAGAGCGCGTTCAGTGCATGTTACATAGATTTTTAAAGGTTTTTAGATATACTTTTAAAAGTAAAATTTTACAATTGTCATGAATTATTAATATTTTGGGGAGTTGCACCACATGACCTGAACTAACCTTGCTTTGTCATATTTCTATTTTTTTTAAATGCGATTGATTGACCTTGACACATGTTCGTTTTCAATTTTATATCTAATTTTTTTCTGCATGCTGTTTGCACCACATGACTTTCAGTAACAACAAATAACTTTGAATTGGAAGACAAATGTTTTTCAAATATTAATAATCAGTGCAGCCATTTTTTATTATTGTAGAAGTAATGATAATAAAACACATCAAACTACTTAATAAAGTTTTCGCTACAAGAATTTAATTATTTTAATTATATCACCCTGAGAAGTGGTCAAATTAATTTTAAACATATATTTAAAATGAGAAATTAAAAACATGCTCATCATAGAAGAGGTGTGTTAAAGTCACTCTATGTATGAATTGCATTAAAAAAAATTTTTTTTTTAAAGTTAATAGAGCATTATTAATTCGCATGAAAACAAGACAAAAAAAAGATTATTTTTCCTCATTCTCTTGAGTGGATAACATTATTATTACAAATTTGAATATTAATTCTTATATCTTGTTATTTAAAATTCCTATTCATTGACTTTGTGATTGTTGGAATCCTTTGTCTCTAGTCAAAGAAAAATGGTTACTGTTGGTCAGCTAATTAGAGACTGTAGCTTCTTCCTGTATTATCCTTGTCTGTCCTTGCATTGTTCTTGTTGCGTCTGTGCTGTCAGGCCTGGTCAGGCCTAGAGTGCACCATGAAATCAGACACTGTTCGTCAAGCAGTTGTGTGGTCATGCTTCACGGCTCCGCTAACACGCCCCCTTGTATTTTCTATCCACATATACACTTACAGTCCACAGCTGCTGTCACAACGCTACTGTCTCAATCACTATTTATTTCTGTCTTGCAGGCCTTGTAGGGGCAACCATTATGTTAACAGTAGGACTTAAAGCTTCTGTCCTGCCATGCTACTGTATGTGGCCTGTTTTAGCATCGGGGCTTTCCCTGTTACAGTCCACTCACACCAGCCAACCGTACAGAGACATTACTTGCAAGCCAGAGTAAACCATGTTGCTATACAAACAAATAAAACACACACAATACTTACATCAGCAAGTCATACGTAGTCGTACCCTAAAACACACAGCCATGCATAAACAAATACATGAAACCAAATCAGCACTTTCAAAAAAATTCATAACTATTTTACATTTTGTTAGTTTTAGGGGTGGACTTTCAAGCTTTTTTTTTTCATATATTTACATAAATCACATCGTACAAATTAATACTATATCGTCACCTCGTAAAATAGTTGTGCTTTCTCATGAGATTGGGTTAAACCAAAAAAAACTAATTGGAATACAAATGGTCAATAGTTAAATCTATAAGCATTGATGAAGCAGTTATTTGTGTGTTTATGTTGGTCTAAATGTGAAACATTAGAAATTTTAATAATTCCAGTTCAGAAAAAAATGTTTTTTTGTTTATAAATGTTTTTTTTGCACTTTATTTATTAATTTTTCAAACAGGTTTAAAGTTAAAATTAAACAATTACACAATTATGTATTTTCTTTCCCCACCCCGTTCCACAACCCTGAATTAACAGAAAGTAGAAAAATAATAGATAAATAACCAATAAATAATTATTTTGAAGAAATATAAGAAAAATATAAGAAAAAAATAAATACAATGTTGTTATCAAATGTTGAGATAATTTCAATAATAAATATACTTTTTTTTAAAGTGTCGATATATTTCAGATTTTACAGGTTGTGCTATGATGTGATTCACTAAAAAGAACCGGCTCAAAAGACTCATTCACTCAAGAATCAAGCCGTTTCTCGATGGGTGTTTCTCAAATAGAAGGCTGCATATCTCGGCTGCCACATCATCAAACGTCTCTGAAGGCCATCTCAATCGCAAGGATCCTTGGAAGGCAGCCTTCGTTTCACGCCCTTCATTCAGCTGAATTAGAAGGATGCATGGGATGTATCCTTTGCGACCTTCAATCACCCACAATCCTTTGTACCCATTCCATTTCATGAAGAATAAACTGACGAAAAATGATTCAGTACTGAGCTTGTCTGAATTTATTATGAAATGTAAGACATACATAAATAATTCGGACATAAAAGCATAGATGTTATTTTTTGTTTTGGTGTAAATTACTCACTAAACGCTAAACTGCCAATCATGTAAGCCACCGGGAGACTAGACGGCTGTGATTCATTGTATTGCATTAATAGAAAGCCAAATAATATAATGATTTGTAATACAAAGTATTTTTCCAAAACATAGCCATATGTTATGTGACGTAGCCATGTGCACTTACTAGACTGTCTCATTCTAGCATTTAATGCAGAGGAGGACTCTAGCCTACAAGCCTCTGAAGGACTGAACTAGGAAGGACGCAGCCTCGGTAGGATGCAGCTTTCCATTTGAGAAACACCCAATATGCGTTCTTGTCTGTATTTGTGTTCTTGTGGACTTGTGAAACGTCATCAGTCGTCGCCCAAGTACTGTTCCAATTCAAAGTTCACATCTAGCCAAGTACAGTTCAAATCAAGGATGTGTTCTTGCTCCGCCCCTTTTATCAAGGATGCATCCAGAGGTGACTTGTGCGAACTTGAGGCAGCCAGGTATCCTAGAATGCATTTCACGCCAACCAGCAAGCGTTAATGGCGGAGGAGAAAACCTGCATAATTTTCAAAATATTACTGTTAGCTACTGTGTCATGAAATGCAGTTCTAAGAGTATTACAGGCGAGAATGTAGTTGTTTAAAACTTAAATCTGTGGTTTATTTATAAAGATAGCGCCTATTAGAAAATTTGCTTCGCCGATTACAGAGACGTAGCTCCACGTGATCACCGGGCGCTCAGTGCTCATGTATCCGCTGAGAGCAGTCTCACCTCGGCTAGTCCTTCTGAAATTTCCCGCTGGCTCTGATGTCTCTGTAGAGGTTCATGAGGTACAATTTGTTTTGGGTAAATCTAACAGGCAATCTTTGGTCTCATGAATCTATTATTTCTTCCAGGTCATATCGTTTTGGCTGAGCACAAAGTTATGTTTAATAAATTATTTATTTATTCATCGTAATACAAGGCTGACTTTGTTGCATACATTTGACCGAATTGTTTGCTTTTGTCTTTATTTCCTATTACATAAGTCTCTTATACTTTATACTTATCAAATAATATAATGATTTGTAATACAAAGTATTTTTCCAAAACATAGCCATATGTTATGTGACGTAGCCATGTGCACTTACTAGACTGTCTCATTCTAGCATTTAATGCAGAGGAGGACTCTAGCCTACAAGCCTCTGAAGGACTGAACTAGGAAGCGAACTTGAGGCAGCCAGGTATCCTAGAATGCATTTCACGCCAACCAGCAAGCGTTAATGGCGGAGGAGAAAACCTGCATAATTTTCAAAATATTACTGTTAGCTACTGTGTCATGAAATGCAGTTCTAAGAGTATTACAGGCGAGAATGTAGTTGTTTAAAACTTAAATCTGTGGTTTATTTATAAAGATAGCGCCTATTAGAAAATTTGCTTCGCCGATTACAGAGACGTAGCTCCACGTGATCACCGGGCGCTCAGTGCTCATGTATCCGCTGAGAGCAGTCTCACCTCGGCTAGTCCTTCTGAAATTTCCCGCTGGCTCTGATGTCTCTGTAGAGGTTCATGAGGTACAATTTGTTTTGGGTAAATCTAACAGGCAATCTTTGGTCTCATGAATCTATTATTTCTTCCAGGTCATATCGTTTTGGCTGAGCACAAAGTTATGTTTAATAAATTATTTATTTATTAATCGTAATACAACGCTGACTTTGTTGCATACATTTGACCGAATTGTTTGCTTTTGTCTTTATTTCCTATTACATAAGTCTCTTATACTTTATACTTATTCTTTTATAATGGCTATTATTTGTTAATTAAAACTGACATTTAACAAAATAGGCAGAGCTGTGCTTGTCATATTTCATTTTATTATAGGCTATACAGTGAATATAATCAGAATATATGTGCACATATTACCTAAACCATATATTAATGTTTTATATTTTTAAAATGAAAACGAAATGAGGGTTGTGAGATGATCTTGTATTATCAAATGGTTGGTTGGTTTCATTTTGGGGTAGTTTACAAGGACTGGTGCTATTATTTCAACAGGAGTCACCCGAGATACACACAAACAAATGTCCCTTCTCCACTGTGACTGAAAGCTCCCCAGCCATTGTCTACAAAATAATACCTGTGTGGATTGGGATGGTCCTTGGAGAGTATAGCATATTGTTGCTCTTTCCTACCCCTTGAACTGGCTCTAATTTAATTCAATCAACATGGCAGACTATGATATGGAGCAGAATATGAGCTGTTCAACAATTATGTAACCATAAACATGGACCAGTAAAGATAGCAAGCTAGAAGTAAAGAGTAACTCTTATGACAGAAACATGGCCTTAGGCCTTCAAAATGTCTCACGGTTGCATTGATGACACTCTTGCACTCATGTGTTTGGCCTAAATACAGCTCTCCTGGGTGTGTGAGCGTGTGTCTAAGTGCTCAAAACATATCGCATTTACACTGACTAGAGCCAATTCAATTAATTAGAGACTTCTAAGGAACACATAAAGCCTGTCAGAGAGCATTTTTACAAGCAAGTGGTCAAATGCCAAAGGTGGAAGAGGTTTATCTGAACTAACTATAGACACTGGTGCCATCTGCTGTCAGTATGTTGCTGAACCATTGCTTAAGTGTATGGCTAAGACACTTAATGAATTGAGGATTTGTCTTTTTGGGGGTAATTTAGCATTAAGTCAAAAAAGCGCTTTTGAATGTGATTTTTTTTTTTTTTTACACTTTGATATGGATTACATTTTGTATGCCACTGAAATGGCTGTGTACAGAAAATTATTCTGGAAGACTAATTAAAGCATCATTATTTACAATTTGATGAGTATTTGCTCAAAAGCAGAGCTGTACTTTTCAATGGAAGCATTTGGCATTAAAACTAGAGGTGGAAATCCGGTACAAAGCCACCTTTATCAGAGCCGCCGTGCCGGATGACAGTATGAAAAATAAACCTTGCTCTGATGATCCACATGAACAAAAATGACTTGGCGTTCTCTTCTCTTGCCAGCTCTGCTCCCTATTTCAGGATGTGATTCACATGAAAAGCATTTAGCTCTCATCGAGAGCATACATCGCCGCATGAATCACAGAGATGGGTCATTGCCACAGACTCACACATTTGCACCAAAGCAGCTCTACCACCAAATCATGTTCAAATCCATAAACCACATTATTAAAGCAATACCATTTTAAGATATGGTTCTGTACACGATTGAGGATAGTAACCATGGTTTTATTTTGTTTGAGTTGCTGTGACATTGTAGATCAGGGGTGTGCACATTCCTGTTCTTGGAGATTTACCTTCCTGCAAAGTTCAGCTCCAACCCTAATCAAACACACATGCACCAGCGATAATTACAGACAGGTGTGTTGGAGCAGGGTTTGCACTGAATGATACTGTCTCCAACACAGAAAGCTAATGCTGATGTTATACCTATGGCATCAGATAACTTTCTTCAGAGGAAGTGATATTATGTGGAGGACAGTGATGCACCAAAATTTTGGCAAACAAAAATATTTGGCTGAGAAAAGAATTTTCAGTTTTGGTCGAAATACTTTTGGAGGGCCAAAATCATTGACCAAGACCAGGGGTGGGCAAACTTGGCCCTTCCAGGCCACTTTCCTTCAGAGGTTAGCTCCAACCCTAATCAAACACACCTGAACCAGCTAATCATTGTCTTCAAGACTACTAGAAGGCTACAGGTTGGATCAAATTTCTGCAGGAAAGTAGCATGGAAGGGCCAAGTTTGCCCATCATTGACCAAGACGGTTAACATTTCTCCAACGATGCATTTTGAATGTGTCCGCAACCATTTTGTGCACACATCATGGATAAACTACAACAGGTGAACGTGTCAGCAGTGTGGACGCACTTCATCTTCACCCAAAAATGATGCACGACACCCTAAACAGAGTACCAAATCAATTACCCAACTACCCAAATGTAATTACTGAAACGCTATTTTTGGTTTTGGTTTTCAGTTAAATGAAAACTTTCATGGTGTTTTGGTAAAAAAAAAATTAATTGAACTCATGATCATTTTTGTCACCATTATGTTGTAATATCAAGTATGATTAATTGTTCATTCTGTATGAATGTGCTGAGTTATATACCATCACATTTTGGTTAATATTATTGTTTTTCCTCTGCAGATGCAGTGGATTCTGAGACTGAGCCGCTTGTGCCGTTCCAGCTGAAGTCTGAAGGCGAGCTGTTCAACTGCTGTGATGGCACAGAGGATATAAGCCAGAGCTCCTCCAATGACACCCCAGCACCAAACAGACCTGTGTGCCAACCCTGTGGCACTGGTGCACAAATTGACACCACGGCAGAAGATGTCAGTTCTAATGAGGATGAAGAGGAGAAGGAAGTTGCTTCAGAAGAGAAATCTGAGGAGTTGAGTCAAGAGGAGACCTCTTCTGAAGAGATATTTGAGGAGGAGGCACAGGAAGAGGAGGCAGAAGTTGAGTTAGACGAATCTAATGAAGAGGTGGAGGAGGAAGTTCTCGAGGAGGCACGTGAAGACGTGAAGGAGGAGGAGATCTCAGAGGTAGACAGTGATATAGAATCTCAAATGGTTGAGGAATCTGTGGAAGAGGACGACAAGGAAGTTTCTCAGACCGATGAGGAGGTGGTTGAGGAAGAGGAGGTTCTTCAGACTGAAGGTGAAGAAGAGGAACTTTCTCAGACTGAAGAGGAGGTAGTTGAGGAGGAGGAGGTTCTTCAGATTCAAGAAGAGGCAAGTGAGGATGAAGAGGTTTCTCAGACAGAAGAGGAGGCAGATGCGGTTCCTCAGCTTGAAGAGCAAGTGGAAGAGAAATCAGAAGAGGTAACAGAGGAAGAAGCTAAAGAAGAGGAAGCTGTAACAGAGGAAGAAGGAGCTCCTGAGGAACAATCTGTAGAAGAACCAGAAGCCTTTGTAGAAATGGTGGAAACAGAAGCTGCCGAGGAACTAGTAGCAGATGTTGTTGCATTATCCCAAGAGGTGACTGAGGAACTTGAGGAACCAACTCCAGAACAAATTATGGTCCAAGAAGATGTTTCTACACCTGCTAAAGAAGTAAAGGTGGAAGAAGTGTCAGATGATGTACCAGCAACCAAAGCGTCTGAGAAAGGTACAATAGGATTCAGTCAGCATAAATAACATTGGACATTTCATGGTAATATGAAACAAGATAATATTTAATTGTTGAAATTCTAAAATCTATTAGAAATAAATTTGTAAAATCACAAGTTCTGGATTTTGTACACGTATATTTACTAAACAATGTTGATATTCACTAAAAGTTCTGAGGGAGTCAGTCCAGTCACTTAAATAAGAATCCATGCAATCAGGAATTTCACGTGAGGGCAAAACATTTTCCTCTGCAGATTTTGCTAATGTTCAGTTTGGTTTGTACATTGACCAACAGAAAGCTGCTTGGTTTGAAAATGACTTTTGAGAAAAAAAAATGCTAATGTGACTGCGCCTTTAGACTAATCTAAAGTCTAATATATTTAAACGCTTCAGAATCATCATAAAGCCTCTTGTTAAAGCCCATTATAGTGGAAATAACCAGAGAGAAGGAGCTATATTGTTGTCCCGTCGCCAGGGGGCAGAGTTGGACACTATTGTAAAGTCAGTTCCTCGTGCTTCTCCACCTGATACTTTGGTCGAACCTAACAGAAATAACCCCTGGCACAAGTCCATTGCCATTCATAACAATATGTTCTCTGGCCTGCATGGAGGACAGTTTTGTAATAGGGAAGAAATGTTTCAGATGCTTTTAATAGTACATTGATTGTGTTTGACTGGCTTCAAATAGATGGTTGATGTACATGTCACAGTAGATGGATCCAACATGGAAAAAAAATAAACAACTAAAACGGCAATAAGAAAAATAACTGAAATGACAATCAACCTCCACCTGATACTTTGGTCGAAGGTGGCACAGGAATAAACCCACCACCAAAATAACCTAACAGAAATAACCCCTGGCACAAGTCCATTGCCATTCATAACAATATGTTCTCTGGCCTGCATGGAGGACAGTTTTGTAATGGGGAAGAAATGTTTCAGATGCTTTTAATAGTACATTGATTGTGTTTGACTGGCTTCAAATAGATGGTTGATGTACATGTCACAGTAGATGGATCCAACATGGAAAAAAAATAAACAACTAAAACGGCAATAAGAAAAATAACTGAAATGACAATCAACAAAAACGGAAGTGTATGTCTGTTGGGTAGAACACATCACAGTGATGCAGATAATATGGCTGAAACTAGCGTGCCAGCATGAAACCATAACTAGAACATCACCATTTGTGTAGGTCAGCTGCGCACTAAAATAAACAAGCAACACATTGAGCTGATACATTGTTTCCTGTGATTGTGATTCTTGTGTAAATACAGATGCAGCTTCTTTCCTCCGAGATCTTGTTTACTTCAGATGTAAATCTAAATTCTGGCAATGTTCTGTTGATTCCACAACAGACTTCTTAGCTGTAAATAATAAAAAATAAAGATAAATTACATAGAACCAATTTAGAAATATGTCCACAAAACAAAACGAAAAGGTTTACCTAGAAAGTAAAATGTAAAGTACATTTTTAAAATAGTATTTTTTAAAAAAAATAAAAAATGCAAAATAATAATAACCTTGTTCTGTGTGTCCACAAGAAAGAAAATGTTATGATGATATGAGCTTCATGTTTTATGCTAATTTAGAATTTTGATTGGCTGTTTTTCTCTGGCAGTGGAGAAAACAACCCCCTCAGGTCCTGCCACAAGAGATCAGTCTCACATTGAAGAGACGCTGCGTCTGGCAACAGCTGAACCTTCAAAGGAATTTGTTGGTGAGTCATATAATGAAAATAAAAAAATATATATATATGAAAAAAAGGAAGAAAGTATTACCTTTCTGGGCAATACAGTATGTACCATACGACGCCAGTTATTTCATTAACCAATCGCAATTTAGCTTCACCAAAATCTCAGAATGGTAAATAGGTAACTTTTGAAGTAGCAGAATGAGTCAGTTTCTAACATAATTTCATCAACTCTACCTCTTATAGATGCTCTGAAGAAGCTGCAGCATGTCTACAACACTGCAATTAAACCCTTGGACAAGGCCTACAAATACAATGAGCTCAGGCAGCATGAAGTGTCAGGTAACGTCTTTTGATATTGGATTCAGTTTTAAAACGTCATTCCAGACTACTGCTCTTCTACTATGGAAAGGATCTAAATGAACGATCCTCAGTTGAACTCTGTTTTCTTCATATTGTTCAGATGCAGAGATCACATCTAAGCCCATGGTCCTGTTCCTGGGTCCTTGGAGCGTTGGCAAGTCTTCCATGATCAATTATCTTCTGGGTCTCGATGACACTTCACAACAGCTTTACACTGGTAAGCAATCAATCATCAAATGAATGATTGTAAAATGAAATGAGCTGTTATACAATTAAATATTAGTTCTTCTTTGTTCCTTCATCTCACTCTCTTTTGCCTTCTCTCAGGAGCTGAGCCCACAACCTCAGAATACACTGTACTGATGCATGGTGAGAAGTTTCGTACCATTGAGGGCATTGTCATGGCGGCAGACAGTTCCCGCTCGTTCTCACCACTGGAGAAGTTTGGTCAGGGGTTTCTGGAAAAGCTGGTTGGAATTGAGATGTCGCACAAACTCCTGGAGCGCGTCACCTTTGTGGACACGCCTGGAATCATTGAGAACCGCAAACAACAAGAGAGAGGTGAGAATACAATATTCACAAAGACTCGAAAAAAGAGTTTGGTATGAACAAATTGATCAAAAGTGAAAGTAAAGACGTTTATAATGTCACAAAGGATTTCTATTTCAAATAAATACTGTTCTTTTGAAGTTTCTATCAGAGAATCCTGAAAAAATGCATCACAGTTTACAAAAATATTAAGCGGCACAACTGATTTAAACCGTGATAATAATAAGAAATGTTTCTTGAGCAGCAGATCAGCATATTAGAATGATTCCTGAAGGATCATGCAACAGTGAAGACTTGAGTAATGATGCTGAAAATGTAATTTTACCTTCAAGGGATTAAATACATTTTAAAATATATTAAAATAGAAAAAAAACAATACTTCACTGGTCATGCTGTTTGTTTTATACCGTATATTCACTAGTGGTTCTGTAGCACCACTGAATAAGTAGTTTTTAGTATATAGCATTTCCCCAGAATTGACGTAGTGCATAAAAATTAGGGGTGCTCCGATTGATCGGCTACCGATCGCTATCGGCCGATAATCACGTTGGGATGATTGATCGGCGGTCTCTAAAAAAGGCCGATCTCAAAAAAACTGATCTCAAGCTGATGACGCGCCTGCCCTGAGAGGTTTGGCACGACATGCAGCGGCACCGTCTCAGTCTCTGTCAGCCCTTTTAGATAAACAAGGCAAAAATAGATGGCACTGGTGGAAGTAGGAAAACAAAGTTCTTTATGAGCTGCAGGATTGCCTGTAATAAAGATTTCAATGCAAAAGGAAAGGCAGTAGAGCTGACCATTTCTGTCAATGGTTGAAAAAGCATTTTCAGTGACAATGTTTGGATTTTAAATCTAAATAATGGATAAATGTTGTGTTTGTGGTAAACAGCCACGGATCAGTAGCGGACTCCTG